AGGGAGGGAGGGAGGGAGAAGAGGAAGAAGGAAGAGAGGAAGGAAGAGAAGAAGGAAGGAAGGGAAAGGGGGGAAAGGAGGAAGTAGGTAGGCAGCAGGGGCAATCCTAAACCAAAGCCTCTCTGTCTTGCCCCGACCGTAGGCATCGTTGTGCCTCGGAAGCTCAACGGGGAGGAATGGCACATGCGCTGCATCCGCCAGGATCTCTTCTGCGAAGACACCAAGAAGGGGGAAACCGCCTCCTGCCAACTGGCCAAGGTACACTGTTTGGGGCTCCCTCGGGGCGATCTCTGGATAAGTTTTGGGGAAAGGCTCTACGTAAGTCTTGAGGGTTCTAGGCAAGTCTTGGTGAGAGGCTATCATTAGTTTTTGGGGAGAAGCTCTAGGTTGAGGAGATCTCTAGGTAAGTCCTGAGGAAAGACACTAGGTAATTCTTGGAGGAAGGTTCTAGGTAAGTCTTGGAGGAAAGTTCTATAGAAGTATTGGGGTTCTAGATGAGTCTTCGGGAGAGGCTCTAAAGCCTCCTGGAGAGGCTCTAGGTAAGTCTGGGGAGATGCTCAAGGTAAATCTTGGAAATAAGGTTCTAGGAAGTCTTGGGGAGAAGCTCTAGTTAAGTTTTAAAGAGAGGCTCTAGGCAACCTTTGAGGAAGATTTTAGATAAGTCCTGGGGAGGCTCTAGGTAAGTCTTGGGGAGAAACTCCAGGTTGGGGAGATCTCTAGGTAAGTCCTGGGGAAAGGCACTAGATAAGTCTTGAAGGTTCTAGGTAAGTCTTGGAGGACAGTTCTAGGTAGGTCTTGGGGAGGTTCTAGGTAGGTTTTGAGGAGAGACTCTAAAGTTTGGAGAAGCTTTAGGTAAGTCTGGGAAGAAGCTCTAGGTAAGTCTTGTGCTTTCCCTGCATGGCAGGAGGGGGTTGGACTGGATGGCCTTTAGGGGCTCCTTCCAATGCGGTATGTGATTCCCTTCCCCTCTTGCTCTCAGGTGGTCAGCTGGGTCTTGCCTGCAGACGAGGTCTTGCCCTTCCTGTGCTCCTTGGTCAATCAAATGGGGGCGGTCAGCCCCGACTGCGACCGGGCCGCCCTTCTGTGGTTCGAGGTGGCCGTCCAGCACTGGAGGATGGAGCCGGGCGATGAGTCCAGGCAGGTAAGAGATAGAGTGCAGTCCTCCTCTCTGAAGCAGCCAAAGACCCTGTACCCTCACTTTGATTGGACTACAACTCCCATAACCCCTTCCCATCCCCCACTTTGCATTACAACTCCCATAAGCTCATCCCATCCAGATATTTTGAGCTACAACCCTCATAAGCTCTTTTCATCCACATATTTTACACTACAGCTTCCATAGGCTCCTTCCATCCAGATATTTTGGACTACAACTCCCATAGGGTCTTGCTGTCCAGAAATTTTGGACTACAAAACCTATAAGCTCTTTTCATCCACACACTTTACACTACAACGCCCACAAGCTCTTGCCATCCATGACAACTCCCATAAACTGTCCAGATATTTTGGATGACAACTCCTGTAGGCTCCTTCGTTCTAGATATTTTAGACTACAACTCCCATAAGCTCTTATTGTTCAGATACTTTGGTCTACAACTTCTGTAAGCTCTTACAGTCCAGATATTTTGGACTACAACTCCCATGAACTCTTATTTTTCAGATATTTTAGACTACAACTTCTGTAAGCTCTTGCCAGCCAGATATTTTGTATTACAACTCCCATGAACCCTTACTGTCCAGGTATTTTAGACTACAACTCCCATAAGTTCTTATTGTCCAGATATTTTGGACTATAACTCCTGTAAGCTCTTATTGTCTGGATACTTTGGACTGAAAATCCAGCAAGCTCATAAAAAATGAGCTTGCTGGAGATATTTTGTACTACAACACCTATAAGCTCTTGACATCCATATATTTTGGACTACAAATCCCATAAGCTCTTACTGTCCAGGTATTTTAGACTGCAACTCCCATAAGCCCTTGCCATCCAGATATTTTGGACCACAACTCCCATAAGCTCTTGCCGTCCAGATATTTTGTACTACAACTCCCATAAGCTCTTGCCGTCCAGATACTTTGGACTATAACTCCCGTAAACTCTTGCAGCTCAGATATTTTGGATGATAACTCCCATAGGCTCCTTCCATCCAGATATTTTTGGGCAGCAGCTCCCACCAGCGCTTTCCCGGATCTCCTTCCAGGTGGGCTCCCTGGTGGGCTGCCTCTGCTCCCGGCTGGAGATCTCAGAGGGACCCGATCCGTTGCACTGCTTGACCAGCGGGCTGTGCGTCCTGGCGGAGCGGCACCCCAACGCCACCTGCCTCTCCCTCTTGCAGCGCAAGGTGCTCCCCAGGAGGTGCGTGAAGCCCACTTTCCCCCTTCTCCGGCTCTCTTTTCCCTTCCTTCTTCCCTTTCCCTTCTCTGTCTTCTTCTTTTCCCCTTCTTCTTCCTTTTTTTCTTCCCTTCCTACCTTCTTTCTTTCCTTTCTCTTATTTTTTCTCCTTTCTTTACTTCCTCTTCCTGCCTTCCTCCCTCTTCCCTTCTTTTTCTCTCTTGCCTCCCTTCGTCCCTTCTTTCTTTTTCCTTTCTCCCTTTTTCTTCCTTCCTTTATCTCTCATCCCTTCTTTCTTTCATAAATTTTCTTCCCCCTTCTTTCCTCCTTTTTCTCCTTTTCTCTTACTTAATTCCTTACTTTGTTATTTCCTTACTTTCTTTCCCTTTCCTTTCCTTTCCTTCCTTCCTTCCTTTCCCTTTCTCTCTCTTCCTTCCTCTCCTTTCTTTCTTCTTCCTCATACCTTTTCTTTTCCTTTATTCCCTCCCTCCTTTCTCTCTACACTTCTCTCCTTTCTTTACTTCATCTTCCTCTTCCCTTCTTTTTCTCTCTTCCCTCCATCTGACCTTTATTTCTTCCCTTCCTTTCTTTCCCTTTCCTCCATTTTTTCTTCCCTTCTTTTTCTCTCTTCCCTCCCTTCATCACTTCTTTCTTTCCTTTCTTTTTCCTTTCTTTCTTTCTTTCTTTCTTTCTTTCTTTCTTTCTTTCTTTCCCCTTTCTTTCCATTTTCCTCTCTTCATCCCTTACTTATTTCCTTACTTCCCCTTTTCTTTCCTTTCTTTTTCTCTCCTTTTCTCCTACTTCATCCCTTACTTTTTCTCTTACTTTCTTTCCCATATCTTTTCTTTCTTTCTTTTTTCCTTTATTTTCTTCCTCTCCCTTCCTCCCTCTTTCCTTTCTTTCTTCTCCCTCTCACCTTTCTCTTTACAGTTCTCTCCTTTAGTTACTTCATCTTCCTCTTCCCTTCTTTTTCTCTCTTCCCCCATCTGACCTTTCTTTCCTCCCTTCCTTTCTTTTCCCTTCCTCCATATTCGCTTTTTTCTCTCTTCCCTCCCTCTGACCTTTTTTCTTCCCTTCCTTTCTTTTCTCT